CCCCCCCCCCCCCTAGTTTTGGTATTATTTGTGCTGATTACAGATAAAGTGGTATAAGTCTGCAAAATATAGTACGAGCTTTTTAGGCGTAAGTTCTCAATTTGTTTAAAAAAAAAAACTAAAACACGTTTTGCACCGGACAGTAAAATTTCCTATCGAACACCTCAAATTTACCAATATCATTGCTATTAACGAGAAATCTCGTTTTATACGCAAAAAATAATCTGACTTAAGCCTGACGTGTTACTGTTACCCTCTGGTACTCGATGTGTTGATTTCACAAATCCTTAGAACCTAGCCATGGATTTCTGACTTGAGTGGCATAGCGTGTTAAAATATATTCGACGTTTCGGCAAACATTACGGTTACTTTAATGGAAATATCTTTTTAAGGGCCAACATTCTCTCTCTCTCTGCCTGAAAATGGAGACAGGCTTGGTGCATATCGGCAATGGACGATGTCGGAACGAGGTACTCCCATGAGTACACTAGACCATTGTCACATTTATAGTAAACCATATTCCAGCTGACATATTCAGAATCAGTGACCTGTTGAAAATTTTTTCGGACGTTTCGGCAGTCTTCTTTAGTATAAAGAGCCTTGCCGTGTCTTATTTTCGAGAACCAATGAAACACTGTTGCAAAAGCCAGAAATAATCGCCGCTCCGGTTCAGAAATCATTGCTATCAGATCCATCCCAAACATAAATCACGCACTGAACTGGTAAGACGGTTGTCTTTCTAAACTCCCCCAGTTCTGTGCTGCTAAACGGAATCAGAACCAGGGCCCTTCCTTTGAATGCCACCACGCTCCACATCCAAGAAGCGACATTTTATTCTGTTCCTTTCAGAACGAAATTGGCCTGACATATATTCCTCATTTGCAAGCTGACGATCAACTAAGAATTTATTTTATTTTGTTTGTTTGTTTGTTTGTTTGTTAAGTATTCGTCATAAATTATTATCGTTATCACGATTAGGCCAGTAGTATAAATTATTTTAGTGGAGCTTTTTTCCGTTCTTCTTAAATATTTGATTTGTCGTATTTACATAATTCATTCTTGTTTCCAAAGTCATCATCCTCGTGGTGTTCGTCGTTCTTTTTAATTCCGTCGTCAGGGGACCCGTCTCTTCAGCACTGTCGGTAATGTAGCTCGTCGCCTCACTCGACCCTATTTTACAATTATCCTCTCTGGTTCAGCATTCTGTTCACAGCGCTCCTTTAATTATTTTCTTTCCAGCACATTTCCCTGTGTAAACTTAATTTTTCGTTTACCTTCCATCCGTGCTACATTTTCAGCCACTCGTAGGCTAGTCTTTTTTTGATTTAACTATCGTAAGTTATCAGTTTCTCATTTACGTAGTTTTATTTATTTTTCATTTAGTTCCATATATGTTTTAAGAACCTAATTGCACATACTTTAATACACTATATTGTTATTATCATTATATTATTATTTACTTAGATTCGTTTCTGTTTTCTTGTGATTACAATATTTTTTCCGCAACAGAGTTAAATAGTTTAATAATGAACTCTTTGCCTTGATTTTTTTTTTACGTTTTAGTATTTTTATGCAGACTTCTGGTGCCGAAACTAGTTTGGAGACCATGAATAAAATGTAAGACGATAGAGATCTTAGATATGAAGGATTTACTGATGGGAGGTGGATAGAACTGGCTCAGGACATTCCACGCGAGTTTTGGTTGAAAGTTCGGACCAGTTTCTATTCCAGTGATCATCCGAAACAAATCATCTCTGCCACATTTTCCAGTTCGTGTCGTTTCTTGGACGTGCTATGTATACACACGTTTTGGATTCAAAAATATTAAAATATGGAAAAAAAAATCTTCTAACTGTTGACCATTTCTAGTAATTTCGCTGGCCATCGATTTTCTGTCTGCACAAATAATGACATCGGTTCTCAAACAGTGGCTTGCCAGAGAAATTACAAACCACAGTGGTAATTTTATTTTGTGAGGTTCAACAGCTTGCTTTGTTCTCCTTAGAAGAGATGTACCAAAAATATCTGATTGTCAGTGATTTCTTTTAAAAAGATTCTTGAAGAATTTATTGTTAGAGGAATAAGTTAAAATCTTATAACTTCTGGCTCGCGATCTCTGAATTGAGAACGGATACAATATGGCGGCAAACGTGGGTGTGTATACATATTGGTGAGCATTGTGTTATTGTGTGATTCTGGTTAATTCGTCACAGTCATTTTGCTATAATTATGTGAAGTAACAGAGTGTGTGGCAAGTCCCAGCTAGGCTGACATTTTGAAATAAACTGTTCATCTTGAGCAGGGAATTGAAACCGACCTTCCATCATTACGAGTGTATAAACCATCAGACCACCAAAGAAATCTCATCCGGGCCAAACACATTATTATTATTGCTCAGTCAGTATCGTGATTTACTATTTGTTGGACGACCGGGGAGGAATTCCTGAAGGGGCGACAATTTTTCTCTGTGTTACTGCGTCCAGGCTCTGTGGTCCACCAAAATCCCTGTCAAATGGACATGGGGAGTCTGTCTGCGAGATTAAAGGGGCCAGAAAGTGAGATTCATCTCTCACCTGTATCTAGTACCAAGGTTAAGTAGAAATCTCTGGAGTTATACCTTCATTTCTCAATGCGTCTTAATGGAGTGTTTAATTAAGCTCGGAAATATATTTACATTTTTAACAACCTCGAAAATGATACTGACCTAATAATTATTAAAATGGTTGCTTTGATATTAAATAATATGAGTTGTTATAGGACAGGCAAAAGTCCTGCTTCGTATTGTGATGTGTGGATTTTTTTTTATTATTTTGAAGAAAAAAAACCGTCTTACGACGGCCATTTTATGTCTAGATAAAGACAGTCGGATTCAGTTCCCACTTCTTTTTTTTTTTGGCTGAAACGAAAATCTTTGGTG